TTACGTCACTTCCACGTGACGGCCAGCATGCCCTGATCTCGGTCAGGGTGTGTCACTTCGTCTCTGAATCACTGTTGCCGCGTGCAATGTTTTGTGTTTATGGAAACTGTCGCGTCACAGATGTTAAATATTGATTGGTGAATCATCGACGGTAAGGCCGCCACTGTGTCCTTAAACTAAGGTGGGTATCCAATTCAGCAGGCCTCAACCCTCCTCCACAAGGGTACCCATCAATTGGATACCCTCATGCTGCCCATCATACACCATCTGGTAATTGTTCCTTATTTGTAACGAGTCATATTTTATCATGGATAACTCATAAATGTGTGGAGAAAATTTTATTTTCGTAAATTTGAATGGATTACGTATGCAATTCTTATATTAAACTGATTTGCAAATCAATGAGTTACATTTTATTTTGGGAGACTTTGCATGCAGTCCTTAATTATGAATTTTCTTTGATTGAAACCTTGTTGGTTTTTAATTTTTTTATCAAGGTCCCTGAAATTAATGTGATAATTTATTTCTATGTTCGTTACTATATTTTTTAAATTAAAAATTAGAAATTTTAGTTGTTTATATAAATGAGATTTTAAACCAAAAAAACCATAATTTGTGGGATTAAAAATATTAAAATATAACTATACTATTTTGTGTGTGTGTGTGTGTGTGTGTAAACATGGGTACATTCATCAAAATTAATCAAAAAATTAATTGTATCAAAACATGGGTACATTCTTCGAAATCACAAAAAAAAAAAAAAAAAAAGATATTGGACTTAATAACATTAGTAAATTTCTTTGATTAAACTTGGCATGGATACATTTTAAAATCAAAGAAAAACATATAAGTTTAAAAATGGATTAGAAAAAAATTGAATAGATTTTATATAAAAAATTATACATTTTACATATAACAAATTGGTATATTTTAGAATGAGTACATTTTAAGACTAAAAAGTTTTACATTAATGGGTACATATAATTAGCATGGGTACATTTAGCAAAATAAAAAGTAAAAAAAAAAAATATAAGGGTACAAATACAAATAAACTTTAAATAATATGGGCACAAAAAAAAATTAATATATGGGTACAAATTAAAACTGAAAAGAAAATTGGTACAAATTAAAAATGGGTACAAACTAAAACTAAAAATATATGATAAAAATTTTAGTCATAAATATTAATATTTAACATTAAATGAATATATTTAGAAATAAAACAATATTTAATTATTGAAATAATTAATAATGTTATTAATACCTAAGGACCTTGATCAAAAATTGAAAATGAATAGGATTTTAATCAATAGAATAATAAAAGAAAGGATGAAAACCTAATTTCTTCTTTTATTTTTTTTTTTATCAAGTGGTAATTTTATTATCAACAACAAAACAGTACACACTAAGAGCCCAAAAACACACCAAATACAAAGAAACATGGACCCAAAAACACACAAAAAACCCAAAGTCTACTTTGGAGCCCAGCATGTACAATCCATAAAAATGTAAAGACCCTAAGCACCCATAGCTACTGTTGCTGGATTTCCCATCGCTGACGCTTCCCACAATGGAGCACAGATTTCTTCGCCCACCGCTATCACCACACATCAAACCTTCCAGATTCTCTAAGTTAAAGAAGAAATATGATGCACCATCCTCCACGGACCACCAAAACGAACGCCACCAAGAAACAAAGGAAGCCCACTGGAAGAGAGATCCGACGAGCGACATCACCAACCAAGGCGAACATTGAGGAGGACCAACAAAGGTCAACAAGGGTGGTGGTGTGAACGTCCGAGCCAAAGCTCTACACACCCTCTCGTTAAAATGCGAGAAATCGCAGGAAAAGGTAGGCGAATCGAATTATGAGTTAAGTGGAAAAATGGTGAAGATGGTAGAGAAAAAGGATGATCTGCACATGGAGCTCAAGATGGTGGAATTAGTTACAAGACAGGGGTAGATAGGGAAAATGGGGTTGGGCTTATTGCAAAAGACAGTAAGGAAAAGGAAAAAAAACAACAGAAATATAAGGGCCGGTATCCTATTTGAATTTATTTTATCATTTCTCAAAACATTTCTTAACAATATTTCTTGAAAACAATTTTTTTTTAAAACTCAACAACTTGATTGGTTTGTAATTTAAAATTTTTAAATCTTATGACTTAAATTAGATAAAGAGATCTAAAAAGAGGTGGTCGCAGGAGAGGGAGAAAGAGGAGAAAGGAGGAAAGAAAGTAAGAGATGATTGAAAGAAAGAGAGAAGAGAGAGGATCGGACGAGATAGAGATGAAGAAAAGTGAGAGAAAGAACCCATTTTTAATATTTATGCCATCCACTTTAGAATGAAGAGAGTGGATTGGAAGAGAGACGAAAAAAGTAAAAAAAAAAATAGGAGAGAAAAAGAAGAAAGAGAGAGATTTGGAGTGAGAGGGGGGAGAGAGAAAAGAAATTAGTGATTTTAAGTTTAAAAACTCTAAAAACTTACTTTTTATATTTTTAGATAATAGACTATATTTTTTATTTAGTCTTGAGTTCAATTTTTTAAAATAGTCTTACCAAACAAGTTTTTAAGGCTTACAACTTGAAAATTGTTTTTGAGTTTAAAAAGTTGGATTCAAATAGAGTACCAAACAGGTCCTAAGGTTCTCACCAACCCTCACCATAGCAAGGCCAGCGGCAACATATAAAATCTAAACTGAAAACTGAAACTCACAGTACGGTGAGAATGTCTCTCACTGGAGCGGAGAAGTGCTCTCACTGGCATGGGCGGATCCATATAGGGACCCGGGAGGTCCCGGGACCCTTCGGAAGCTCGAAGAAACACTTGTGATCGACCTTCAGGACCCTCCAACAATTTGGCAGGTGCAGCGGAGAGGCTTGTTGCCTCCATGGATGTGCATGCAGCAGTGCTTATAACGAAGAAGAAGAGGTTTCTAATTTTTGTTTTAATCCTCCAAATCGTTGCAACCTTCCAACTTTAAACTCAAGTTACCCCATCCCCTAACACCATTTGCCGGTCCACCACCTCTAGCTGCCTAAATTTATTTCTTCCAAATTCATTTAAGTTTTTTAATCCTAGAATTTGTTGGTTTTATTAACATTGAGATGAATCTTGATTATTATTTTTTTATTTTTTAAAAGCGGGACAACTACTGGCAAACCACGGTTATCTATCCCTTTTAGGAGCCTAGAAGACTTACAGAGGCATTCAGCTTTCTCCTGTGCATAGTCAAACAGACTCACCAGCTTGGAGCCTCGAACTCGGGACCTCCGTGTTTTTTGTATTTTGAGAGCCGAAATCTATGCCCTTACCACTGGGCCACTTGATTGGTTGATTAATTTTGATTATTTAATGAACTAAATTCAATAAAAAATAGTGTTATGGAACCAAACTAGTCTAATATTTTTTTTTTGAATTTTTATCTTGGGACCCCTCGATCTTGAAATCCTGGATCCGCCTCTGCTCACTGGAGAGAACTTTCAAAATACCAGTTTTGGTTAGGAACTCAACTCAAGTAGGAATCACAAAACTAACCACGAAATTAAGAGAGAATAATATTGTAAGACAATTTAACAAATCCGTTCATTTTGCGGCTGATTACAAATAATGTTACAATTACCCTATATTTGTATAACATCCATCAAAATAATATCTTTAATTGAGATGAAGTTTATACATTACTAGTCGTATCATGTATTACAAAAATATGGTATATAATTGTTGCATGACTAACGGATTTGTTAATTATTGAAGAAGATTATATATATAATAAATATTTATATTGTTGTACGTGGTGTTTCTTTCTTGGTTCAGGGCTCCACTGCGTAGGACCGGCGATGGTGGCTGGGGCTGCGGCGGCTGCTTACGGAGCTCACCATGTGGCTCATGGTCATGGAGCTCATTATTCAGCACATGGGGTGCAGCACCATGGAAAGCACCACGGGAAATTTGGGAAGCATAGTGGAGGAGGCAAGTTTAAGATGGGCAAATTTGGCAAGCATGTTGTCGGAAGCAAGTTCAAGAAGTGAAAGCAATCATCCCTCTCCTCAAACATTTGCACAACACAAATATATATTTACTGAGTTTTTTAGACTTCTAATTAGAGGTGCATCCGGTTTTATTCATTCGTTTTTCCAAATAAAAAACCGAACCAGAAAATTGATATCAGTTCGATTCGATTTTTTTTTTTTTCGATTCGGTTCATTTTCCATGTCTTTATCCCATGTAAAAAATGTAAAACCCGAAACAAAAATAAATAATTTACACAGAGCTTGCAAATGGATGGTAAGGAGAAAGAAACGATGGCATGAAAGCATGTCAGGTGTGACGACCACATTTAATGTGATGCATGCTTCCACCAAATTAAGAAATCTAGATATTTGAAATTTTATCCAACGGTTACAAACATGAACCTCATTTGAAAGTTATAATAACTTTAGTCATTTGATCAAATTTCAAGGACCCGAATCCCTTGATTTGATGGATTTTATGAAAATGATTCAAAGATGATCGCTTTCCGTGCATGAGGACCATGAATTCGTCCTCCAACGTGATCTGGATGAGGAGTCAATAGTGAGGATTAAGAATGAGGATCGGCAGACCAACCGAGGAAGTATCTCAAGTGAGGACTGATCGAGGAGAGAAAGTGTCAAGGCCTTGGGTTAGGATTACCTGTTACGCGTGTGAAACGAGGGTCGTTGGGTCTTTGGATGTGTACTTTTAAAAAATTAGACTTTGGGGTTATGCACCGGACCTTATTTGAAAACTCGTGAAGCGGCATCAAACGATAATTTAGTTCGATTCGGTTCGGTTTTTAAATCCTTAAAACTGAAACTGAACTAATATATCTCGGTTCATCAAATGACACGTGGATGCGTGGAGTAGATTTTGCCGCGTGGATTCAGGTAGTTGATTCTTAGGCACTAAGGAAGGTGAGCAGGGACCGCGTACCATTAATGTAGCAAAAACGTAAACTACATAAAATTGTACAACCCAATCCATTTCCTCTGTATCTCAGATTTTGTTTCTTCATCTTCATTTGCTCTCTGATCTTTTGGTTTTCAACCGACCAAAAAAATGGGTGGTGGGGAATACAAGCATCACGACGACGAAGCAGACAGGGGGCTTTTTAGCCACCTTGCACACGGAGGAGGTTCGTATCCACCTCAGCACGGGCACCCACCGCAGCAGGGCGGCTACCCTCCGCAAGGGTACCCGTCCCATCAGGGCGGCTACCCTCCGCAAGGGTACCCGCCCCATCAGGGTGGCTACCCTCCGCAGCAGGGGTATCCTCCTCAAGGTTACCCGCCTCAACAGGGGTACCCACCGGCTGGGCATCCTCAGCCTGGCCATCACGGCTCATCTGGTAATTATCAATATCGTGCCCAATCTCTATTTGTATTGGGGATGCATTTTTATGTGCATTGATGGATTAATCGGTGAAATTCTGGTGGAATTTAAGTTTTGGGTCTGATTTACTTTCCTCGCTGAATACATATTTTGGAAAGATGTATAATACATGATTTTGTTACCTTAAAAAGATGATTATGCATGTTCTGTTAATTTTTAATTTAATATGTTATGATCTGCAAAAAATAAAAATAAAGGTTTAGATTACCCCTTTTTTGTTTTCATTATACTATTATTGACGAGATGGGAAGAGTTCGAAACTCTGACATTGACTTACGAGCGGCAGAGTTTTGAACCTGGAATGCATGAGTAGAAATTCAGACCCTATTTTTGTTTTCATTATATTACCGCATATGATCATAGATATTTATTTTCAAAGAATTTTTCTTCTTTATGGTGTGTTTGGACGAAGGACTTTAAATTTCTATGGAATTCAGGCTAAATTTGTTGAATGTCCTACAAAAATATGCAATACATTGAAGACTTTTAAATGACACCTTGAAATGTGTCATTTGAAAGTCATTTGTTTAGCTTCTTTGAATGCATTAGTAGCTTTGTAGTGCTTAACTAGTTCATTGGCAGCGTTCTTGTAGTGCATTTTATACAATCGGGTCTTAAGTTCCTGGAACTTCAAGGTCGGAATGATCTTAGTGCGTAAATGTCCATCTGGTCATATGAAGTGCTCGTAGTCTGCCTTGTCTCCTCTCATGATTACTTAGGCCTTGTGATTATCGACTGATTAGGGCTTGGATTTAAAGTTTGCTTAGGTTGTGCTTTTCTCTCTACTCTAAAAGTTTTGTAGTTCAATTAGTGCTTCTAATAGAGTTTAAAGTGGATAATAAAGCTTCTTTATATATCTTAATCTGTAAGTTTGATTCTGACTTGTGCTATTCTATCTCTTCAGGACACCATGGTGCAGGGGCGTTGCTGGCTGGTGGTGCGGTCGCTGCTGCAGCTGCTGTCGGTGCTCACCATCTCACTCAAGGTGCTCACCATGGCCAAGGTTCTCACGGTTCTCATGGTATTCTCCCTGGCGGTTACGGTGCTCACAATGTTGGTCACGGCGTTGCATCACATGGCGGGAAGCATGGGAAGCACGGCAAGCATAAGAAAGGCAAGTTCGGGAAGCATAAGAAAGGCAAGTTCAGCAAGCACGGTGGATGCAAGTTCAAGAAATGGAAGTGATCCCTAACATACTGCAAAAAACTCAACCGAAATGCTGATCCTATAGATAAATAAATGAGCTGTCAATTACGCGATGTAGTTCGATGGAAGTCTGTTATGTGTTTAATTCTGCAGAATTAGAACCATCTGTTTTTTCTTGTGACTTTGATTCCATATATTTTGCCTCCTTGGCCATTTGACCCTCATTGGTAATATATCTGCTTGTAGAAATGTGTTTAATTCTGGTGTTTGTTTCTATCATGTTAGGGTTAACTTGAAACAGAGTGCTACTTTGAGATAAAAGAAGGGAGAACAACTGCTCTTCTTAATTCTTCTCTGTAAAATGAAGGCATGCATGTTTGGAATTGCTTCTGATATGGTTAGAAGCATTTTCAGATAACCAAAAGCAGTTTTTGGTGCTTTCTACAGAAGCATTTATATATTTTAGGTCCTCATTCAAAGAATCATCGTTGTAAAAATAATTATCCAAAATTCTAAAATGTTTTATCATCTAATGGTTATGCGCGCTTATGAATTGAACGTACCGGGTCCAACAAACCATTGCTATTTCTTTTCTTTTTATGTCGACATTGCCATTCCTTTGGGAGGCCGTGCAATCAACATAACGAACCCAAAAATCCTGGACCGCTGGGCCTATACACACCCAAAAGCATGCCAGGAAAATAAAAACCGACCTGCTTTGGTGCTACTAGGTTACAAGCTAGTTTAAAAAGCAATTGTCCCGACCTCTGCAATGTCTGCATTGACGCCCATGCATCCTACCAAAACCCCATCCTTAACCAGATGCCCCACTTCTCCGACCTCAAAGTCCTCGATGCCATGCAACGCATCGTCTCCAACATCTCCTAGACCCTTTCCGTCCTCAAAACCCTCGAGCTAGCCGACGTCTCCTAGACTCTTTATGGCCACGAGCTGGTCGTCACCACCCTCTCGAACAACCCTAATCCCCAATTTGTAGAAGAAAAAAAATCCTACCTCTAATTTTTTTTTTTTTTTTAATATAAAAATTTGAATGTCAGTTCGGTCCGGATTCCTACTATCAACTAGACATTTACTCATCGGACAATGCTAGAGAGATTAAATTTTGTAAACCATATAACATGGTTATTAATGATTGGATTATTATTTAAGTATTAATTAACGTGTTTATTTCTTATTAGTGATACATCATATTATTTGCAAATTTGGTTAAAAATTGAGTATATCATTACTCTTACTCCTCTAATTTGATGAACAAGATATGATTCTATTTAATTTCAACAATTTGAAGTGGTTTCGTGGCGGCTCATTGTGTCCGGTGAATTTGGATTTGATTTTATCTTGATTTCGGGGTGTGGGATTGCGGGTGGATGCTTGATTTTTGGCGAGGGGAAGCATAGTGTTTGCATGTTTGTTCAGGTGAGGAGAGAGGTCAACTGTGCAAAGGAGGCGTACAAGGTTAAACTTAAAGGATTGACTAATGGAGATTTAACATTAAAACGAATTCGTAAGTTGACGTACGATATTGCAATGCTCAAAAGAGACTTTATTATATGACCCAAAGTTGAGGTGGTAAAATATAATTTATTTAAATATAAAATAAAAACTAAAATGACTATTAAGGCACCCCTTAGCATTTGAGCTTGAATTTGAAAATTTTATTTGAAGCCAAATTTTTCCCCTTTTCCTTTGCATAACTTTGCATAATTAAATATAAAGCAAATAACCAGAAACATGATTAGCAAGTAGCACGCCACTTATAATGGTGAAGAACATAATAAGACGGCCTCAACGTGAATGAATATCAAGTATCAACATCAATTTCCTTCCATTATCTCCATCCCTATGTCCATATATTATTGCAAATCAAAGCAACTGCTAGTGATGAATCCAGGATTTGAATCTTGAGTGGGCCTAGTGTTAAAGGTTCAAGTTTTTAAATAGAAATAGAGAGTGAAGCATGCAAAAATAAAACAATAAAAATAAAAATATAAGTTTATTCACTGAGCCATTTTGTCGAACATCTGATAAGTGACATCGAGAGAATTTGTCAAGTGTTATCCATGCAACATGTCGAGATAGACTTAGCAGGTATTACATCAAACACTTGATAGGTACAAAAGAACCCGCACAAAATGTTCGGAGTGTCCTCAAAATACCCACATATATATTTTTTGAACTCTGGTGGTTCAAGGATCACGTAAGTCCCAGTGTGCATCTACCTCTCATAACTGCCATCCTTATCGGTTGCTCATCACTAGAATCATTATTCAATATCAATATAAACATTGTTTCATGATTGAAGGGGTGTGCTATCCACATCACTTTTTACTTCTCACACACCTTTTGTTAATTTCTATCTATTAATCTTCTTTAATTTATCCGATCCGACAGTTGAAAATTAGAAGAGTGTGTAAGAAGTAAAAAATAGGTGTATGGATATCATACTTCTTTTTAGTCTGATTAATGTTATATGACAGCGAGATTGTCACACTAAAAGATTTATGGACTAAAGATCGTTAAATTAGAGAAGCGTATGTAGTAAAATTCTAAAGATTGTCATCAAGCAAAGGTGTGTGTTTGAAGCAACCGAATGAATGTCATTGGATGTCGTTAATCAAAATTGTCATCAACGGATATTAAAGTATAAGCAAATCAAGGCGCTGATCAAGCCCAAAGTTGGACCCATCACATCGTGATTGACGGCTGGATATGGCCCAGTTCACCTATTGCCCGATCGGCTTGGTTGGCTGCTGGACAAAAACAGGAAATTAATTTCTTTTCTTTTTTTCTTTGAGAGCAAATCAAGGCTTTCTCATCATAAGAATCTACTAAATTAAAGCACACCAAGGTCTCTCTCTACGAAGTACCCTCTGATTTATGACCTTCTAAGAAGTACTCTCTGATTTATGACCTCCCATTACTTTTGTTTAGCTTCATTTATGTACGAATAATTTGTCAATCAAGTAAATATGTGTCGGTATTTCAATTACATTCTGAAAGTTTTGTAAGTTTCACAATCTCTTTCGATTGTGTATGAACATGAAGGTCAATTATGCAAATACATAACGTCTCACTCTTGATAAAATATTCCACAGAACTATTTGATTAGAAAAACTTTAACACTCAATGAGATACTCATAAAATCGAATAAAACCGTAATACAAAGCAATCTGATGTGAAATAAAGACCGTCATTTTGTCTACCGGGGACATGTAAAAGAGTTGGTTACCTGAATTATAGCCTTTTGTTTTCGTTTAATGATAGGTTAGGTCAAAGCTAAAGTAAGAACAAGTAAGCCCTTTCACTGTTTTAATCAACAAAATATTAGGCTAAAAAGGAAAAGGGGGTGCATTGGATCTTGTAAAACAAGGTATGGGCATGACAATAGTTTGTTTATAATTTGAGGGGCAGACTTTGTCTAACTCAAACTGTGCAAACACGAGGGTGATTATTATGAACAAGTGAAAATATAACCATAATGTCTATAAGATATACTAGTGCAAAATATTATCTTGTCGTACAACTCTTTACGGTTGGTTTTACCATGATCTATGTATCGTTATACGACCATTGACAAATCCTCATTCCTTCCGACTGGACAAATTCTTCTCCTCTGTAGCAGTATAAGATATTTATGATGCTAGTTTAAGAATTTTAATCATTAATCAGGTTTTATTGTTTGTTGAATATGACAGTGTATGACATAGGGGTGGACAAACGGGTATAGGAACCGCGGGTCAAGGCGAGTAATCAAGGTACGGGCTGGTTCCAATTTTTTATTAAGAGAAACAGGGCAGGGTGGGCTGGTTCCAGATGTATAGAAAAACGGGTACCCGAACCGGCCCATTTGTAATTGTAAATTTGTAATGGACGGACGAGATTGATGAGTACAATATCATCCAATCTTAACCGTCGGTTTTTACCCAAGGTCCCGACTATCTCTTGCGTCTCCTCCCTTCCACCCACTCTCCGTCTTTGACAATCATCTTCTCCACCACCCAGAACATCACCGCCGTCGTGAATCTGGCGACCACGACGACGACCTATCTTCTTGATTGTCCTTCTCCCAGTCTCCCTCCTACCCGAGTCTCATAGTGCCGACACTCATCTCATCTTTCCTACTTATCTCTATCTCCCTCGACGATATCATCGAAAACCCAGGGTCCCAGACCATTGATCCATCGTCATCCCATCACCTCCGCAGCGACGACCACCACCCTATCACTGGCATCGAGATCTCTGGTTCATGCGTTATCTCCTCCTCGACAACACTATCTAGAACTCATTCTCGTCTCCCTCCAACTCTTCAATCAAAATCGAAATTCATCACCATCTTATCTTCTTCCAAATTGAAATCGAGATTGTCGAACTCTACAGTCCCAAGTAAAGAGGACGGAGACCATGCCCTCGAGATTGTCAAACACCACCATCGCCAGCGCCATGCGAATCGAAATCGACCACCATGCCTTCTATTCTTAATCTTCCACCATTTGGGTTTTCATTAATCTACAAGTATAGTAGGAAACCTGAGATAGGGTTTTTTTTTTTTTTTTTTTCTTTATTTATGAATTTGTTGTGGAGTTTATACTTTAGAGCATCTGGTGGTGTTTGACAATCTCGTGCCATCATCAATCAGAGTCGAGAGATAGAGATCTTGATTTGGGATTGGGAAATATGGGCAAGAGAGACGGGGGGACCTGCAGACCCAGCCCGTAACAACCAGTTTCAAATGAGCCAGGTACCGTCCAATTCCTAACTTAGAAATTCTATTACCAGCTCGACCTGCCCGTTATTATTTACAACAAGTATGGTCCGGTTCTTGTAAATTTGGGTCCGCCCCGACCCTTGCCCACCCCTAATATAACACTAATTTACAATCCGACAACATAAATATGACAATATATATATATATACATACTTTATTTAAATCGTCGTAACAGAAGTATATGCATGCAACCCGAACACCAAAAATAATTTCTGAATAAATCGTATAATAATATGTAAACTAATTAAAGCACAAAATAATACATTATCGACTTGAAATATTGTTTAACTTTCCAACTACATGTAAGTTTTGTGTTAATTTACCAACAAACATGTAGTGGAAAATGTTAAAGAGGAATGAGGAGGAGAGAGAGAGACGCAGAGAAATCGTGTGGGTCCAAGAAAATCAAAACTGGGATAGGAAGGTACGCAAAAAATTCAAACCTTCACGATGAAGCAAAAAACACAACTCC